ATATTGAGTTCTTTAGAGGAAGCACAAAAATGCGACTGAAAACTGATACCACTGCACCGCGCAACTAAAACTCAACATCTGACTTATGGCCATGTATAGACACCTAGAAGTCAATGCTTTCAAAGGATTAAAATCCTTCAAATAGAAGTTCCATTTACAGCGCTCGTTTGTGGTTATGGAAAATACCATCAGCAGAGCACCCTGAGAACGCCTGTCCCTTTCATGCCTACCAAGTGATTGTAAACTAACAACTAACAATTTGTTCTAATGCCTGTTTCCTTCCGATACGGTTGAACATACACAGAGTGACCTCACTGAGCCATGTGATGGCAGAAGAGAACTTAATGGGATCATTTCTCCCCCACAAAATTCACCAGTGTGATGACAGTCATGGCAAGGAGGATGCTGGAAAAGCAGTGAGAGACGAAGGGTGCTCCTTGGGCTCCCAGGGCTGTGTCAGCCCCCACCCTCACCCCCAGTGACCTCCACAGCGACCTGACTTGCCCCAAACGATGTCTGTGTGTCCACCATTCCAGTGCCCAGCCAGAGGCTCCCCCTTGTAGTGGGCCAGGAGTCAGCTCCAGTCCCAGCTGCTCCCGTTCAGACTTCCACGGCCACGTGGGCTCTGAAGCAGCTGTATATGATGCCTACAGAAAGCATCATGCAGTCTCCTATTTAATTGCGCTCTTGTTGTCATTCCCCTACCCTGGGTTGCCAGCTGTGGGGGCAGGGAGCCTACACTGCAGATTTGCTATCGTGGTGGAAGGTACATGGGTCTCAGCTCTCAGATGCGGGCTGAGCACACACAGACTCCTGGCTGCTCCCTTACCCACCGATTTTCTGTGCATGTCCCTAGATCTCAGGTTAGCTACTATTATCTTCTAACGAGGCGCTACTGAATCTGGGTTTTGTTTTTTTGCCAAGAAACATGGTTTAATTGTTTTCTGTTTTTATTTATTTGAAAAGCAAAAGGAGAGACAGACAGACAGATACACACACACACACAATTTCTCATCTGATGGTTTATTATCCAAATGTCTGCAACAGCCAGGGCTAGTCCAGGTTGAAGCCAGGATCCGGGAAGTCAGTGTGGGCTGTCCACATTCCCAGAACATATATTAACAGGAAGCTGGAATAAGCAACAGAGCTGGACTTGAATCCAGGCACTCTGATAATGGGAGGCAGGCATCTCAAGCAGCATATTAATCTCTTAGCCAAACGGATAACCTAACAAACATACTCTTTTTTTAATTAAAAAACTTTTAGGGGTGGCACTGTGGCATAGTAGGGTAAGCCTCTGCCTGTGGTGCCAGCATCCCATATGGGCACCGGTTTGTGTCCCAGATGCCCCTCTTCTGATTCAGCTCGCTGCTATGGCCTGGGAAGGCAGTAGAAAATAGCCCATGTGCTTGGGCCTCTGCACCATTGTAAGAGACCTAGAAGAAGCTCTTGCCTCCAGATTGGCCCCGCCCCAGCTGTTGCGCTATTTGAGGAGTGAACCAGCAGATGGAAGACTGTTCTGTCTGTTTCTGTCTATAATGCTACCTCTCTCAAATACATATTTTAAAAAGCTTTTTATTTATTTGAATGATAGGCAAAGACACAGAGAGAAGGGGAGAAAGGGGCTGGCGCCGCGGCTCACTAGGCTAATCCTCCGCCTTGCGGCGCTGGCACACCGGGTTCTAGTCCCGGTTGGGGCACCGGATTCTGTCCTGGTTGCCCCTCTTCCAGGCCAGCTCTCTGCTGTGGCCACGGAGTGCAGTGGAGGATGGCCCAAGTCCTTGGGCCCTGCACCCCATGGGAGACCAGGAGAAGTACCTGGCTCCTGCCATCAGATCAGTGCGGTGCGCTGGCCGCAGCGCGCTGGCCGCGGCAGCCATTGGAGGGTGAACCAACGGCAAAAAGGAAGACCTTTCTCTGTCTCTCTCTCTCTCTCACTGTCCACTCTGCCTGTAAAAAAAAGGGGGGGGGAAGGAGAGAAGGATAAAGGGAAAGGGGGGAGAGAAAGAGAGAGAGTGAGAGAGAGCGAGCGAGCGAGAGAGCGTGAGTGAGAGTGCCAGTTCACATTCACTGATTCACTCTCCAAATGCTCATAGCAACAGGGCTGGGCCAGGCCAAAGTCAGGAGCCAGGAACTCAATCCAGGTCACCTACATGGGTGGCAGGGACCCAGCCTCTTGAGCCATCACCTGCTGCTCCCCAGGGTGTGCATTAGCAGGAAGCTGGAATGAAGAGCAAAGCTGGAACTTGACCCCAGGCACTCTGACGGGGATGTGGGCATCCCAGGTGGGAGCTCTAATCACTGCTCCAGACACCCACCCCACGAAACAGGATTTTCCAGGGCCATTTCTGAGACACACTCTACAGGATACCAGTAAAGAAAAAGCACAGCTGCTCTGAGTGTGGCTGGTGGGCATTTTACCAAGCTTCCCCACTGGGCAGGTGACAGTCCTAAAACACGGCTTTGACGTGACAGCACAGGCTACAGTAAGTCCTATGGGACAGCCATCTGTTAGTTCATCCGCAGTTCCTGCTGCACGCACACTGTCAATTTATGTAAGCAGAGACCTCTCATATCACTTGCAAATAACTGAATCCATCTCTAGGACGTGTCTATAGAAATGAGAAAACAGGCCAGTCTTCCCGGAGGAGGAGCAGGAAGTCCCCATCATTTAAAAAAAAGTCACTTCCTAGAAGTCAGCTATAGGGCCTGGACTCTCACTACCAAGTGAGGGTCCCTTATCTGAAATGCTTGGGACCAGAAATGTTTCAGATTTTAGATATTTTTTTTCAAAGTTTGGAAGACATGAGATATCTACAGAATGAGATATCTTGGGGCTGGGACCCAAGTCCAAACATAAAATTCATTTACTTTTCACATATAAAGTACAGAATAATTTTATATAATCGTAAAATAATTTCGTGCATGGAAAAGAGTTGTATGGTGTAGCCTCGCCTACTTGCAGCATCATGATGGCGCTCAGAAAGCTCAGACTTTGCAGCATTTCAAGTTTTTGCCTGGGGATGCTCCGACTGTGTTACACACCAGCTCCTTTTGGTTGAAGGTAAAGCCATCAGTCAAAACTCTAATACCCGCTGGGAAGCCTTCTGGAGTCTATGGCACAGCGGTGTGGATTAGCCTGTCAGTCCTCCTAAGGAGCTCTCCAGAGCCTGGAAGGAGACGCATGGGTTTGTCCAGTAGGGCCGGGGAGCAGGAGTGGGGGAAGCAGAGGTAGCTGGCCCCTCCAGGGACTCCACGTCCTCACCTCCTGGAGACACTCTGCTGTCTCTGCACCTGGCCAACAATCCCAGGGAACTGGGCAGTGATGGAGACAGGAGGAAGGGAAAGCTGTGCACACATCTGGGGGGCAAGGGAAGATTTGGCTTCATCTTATAACATCAGATGAGGCAGATTTAGAAAAGAATCTTACATTCTCAGATTCAATATAGACATTATTAGGGGTGTTGAGAAACACAAAAAATATTTCACACACAGCGCATTGCATTTCAATTTAACTGCTGGAGGAAGCACTGTGGGAAGGGGGCCATTCACCTTGTGATTTAAAATATGGCCATTATGACGCATTTTCCAAGATAAAGGATAAAGTCAACTGTTTTCTAATGCATGCTGACTCAACATTTCTAATGTATTTTTAACCTACTAGAGCTTTTTTCTTTAAAAACAGAAAGCATGAGATTACATTTTCTAAGAGCATACCACAGAATACAAGCAATACACATTAAAGTCAGCTACATGCCGAAAAGTGCCACACAGCCCCAGTAACATCCCTTAGAAGGACACAATGACTTTCCTCCTCAAGGTACGAGCCAATGGACTAACACTCTCTGTGTTTTACTTGCTATTAAAAAATCTATATTCATTGGCCGACGCCGTGGCTCACTTGGCTAATCCTCCACCTGTGGCACTGGCACCCTGGGTTCTAGGCCCGGTTGGGGCGCTTGGTACTAGTCCTGGTTGCTCCTCTTCCAGTTCAGCTCTCTGCTGTGGCCCGGGAGGGCAGCAGCGGATGGCCCAAGTGCTTGGGCCCCTGGACCCGCATGGGAGATCGGGAGGAAGCACTCGGCTCCTGGTTTCGGATCAACGCAGCGCTGGCTGTGGCGGTCATTAGGGGAGTGAACCAAAGGAAGGAAGACCCTTCTCTCTGTCTCTCTCTCACTGTCTATAACTCTACCTGTCAAATAAAAAAAAATCTATACTCGCTACTCTGGGCGGCCTATTCTATACCCAGAAAATGTCAACTGCAAATTCTGCCTTGCTTTGTTATACAGAGCAAACCACACACACACACACAGACGTACACATATACACACTTGTGCTCCCACAGATAAGCACACCCACTAATTTCAAAAGTTTGTGGAAAATGGAACTAAAATTTATGTTTTTCTTTTTGCAAAAAAAGTTTGAAGTACATGCATTTAAGAGGGTCTTCAAAAAGTCAAGGCACAGAATGAAGACTATGCACAGATTTCAAACTTTTTGCATCTAAAACTTTTCTTTAAGTTTTATTTTCAATGGACTATTTGAAGTACACTTAAATTGGTATTTTGTCAAAAAAAAAGCTAACCCGATTTTTTTCCTAAGAACTAGTTTCAAGTAAAATAATTTTAGTGACAAGTGAGTTTGTTGTGTCAAATTGCAAAGTATTTACTCTCAGCAAAAGACATAGGTCCAAGGCAGACAAAAGCACTCAAGTACAGGAAAGATTAAATGACAGTATTTTTGGTTAGTCTTGGAGAATTGAATCTAACAATAGGAACCAAAATATACATACTAAATAGTTACCAGTACTCAAATTGTCTACCTGAAAATATAGTTTCTCTCATCTTCTACTGCATTAAAATGCCGGCACTGACACAGGATCAGAAGAATTTTAGAAAAAAACCAAAACCCATTGCTTATAGCACTGTTTACATGCCCTTCTACCCGCTGCCTTGCAATCCAGTTACGACTTAACTTTCCCATCATACTTGCATACCTACCACCAGCCTGCATGACCCGAATCGAGAAGGCCTGGGGACACACACCCTGGGATTCCGAAACCTTGCTCTGTGTCAGGAGTTCCTCTGTAGTCTCATTTCTGTGCTGCTCACACAATCGTTAGCTCTATTTTCCATTCTGTTCTTTAATTAGGATATTTAGTCCTTATTTTCCAGAGATGATGAAATCAAGCGTCAGTTATTTCTGCACTGAACAATTTTTAGATATCAAGCAAGCAAATATGTTACAAATAGCCTCTTGCATTCTCAATAATCTCCAAGCCCCATCTCTAAGGACACCCTTGGAGGACTCACTGTGCTAAGCACAATGAGAGAATTATCCCTGGAAGAATGCAGTCTGCTTCCAGACACATTCTTCTCCAGGAGATAACACGCATCTAATCCATTCATAACTAAAGGCATTCAACACAATCTATACTTTTTTGAAAACACTCTAAAAATGTTCTTGAACTTGCAGAAGGGACTTGGATGCTCTGTTGAAATCCTGCATCGGTATTTCCCAAAACAATAATTAACGACTCTGTTCCAGTTTCGGAGTTACAACTCTCAAGGCTGAAAACCTTTACGTGAGCTTTCTAAGTAACTGCACGTGGTGGCAAGGAGAGAGGCAAACCCCATCTGCTGGTTTTTCCTCCTCTTCTCTGGACACAGCTCCAAGGCTGCGATGGAGCAAGGGCAAGGGCTCAGCTCCCCATGTCACAGCGCTGGCCCCTTCCCCTTCAGCAGATCCAGCGATGGTGGGTTCAGGGTGGGGAGCAGCTCTCCAAAGCAGTGCAGGAGTGGCCATGAGCTTGGAGGCAGACACACAAGTTGGTTGGAATACACAGGGGTCTCTGGGCTGGCCGGGACCCTCCCCCAGCAACTATCATCCTTTAGGGTCATGATAATCAGCTTCTCCCCCATTCCCACAGCCACATTCAACGTCACAGTGGTTGACAGCTTAACCTCTAAGATGCGTGATCACAAACAGATGAGTTTGTCTCAGGGGAGACTATATGAGTTCTGGAACAGAAGTGGGGTGGTTGGAGCTCCTATGTACTTGGCCCAAGTCAGGGGACAATCCCATCCAGGCAGACATTTGCATGGGGCCAAAGACACACTGCCCTTCGGGAAAGCAGAACGGATTCCTTGGTAAATGAGCTGGGATGATGTTACTTTCCAGGATTTCTGTTTTTTTTTTTTTTTTTTTTTTTTTTTTTACTGTAATGAAGGCCATAAGAGCCACCATCCTTGGCATTACTTAGCTAACTACAAGGGTCTGATCTTTCCCTTCCAGGACTTCAGGGCACACAGTGACAACCTGCTAACCTTTCTCCCCTTCATGCCTTCTCTGGACTTCCACAAAGAGCATCCACACTATTCACCTCCCTTGCTGCAACCTGCTAATCCCCAGCTTCCATGCTGGTGCAGTGAATGGACGTTGCCTCCTTGGAGCTCCTACCAAGGAGGACTGGCCAAGCCTCAAACAAAAACTGACAGCTGTGACGAGGGCTGTGCAGTTATGTGGGACACTGTGGTTGTAAACTACCCAGATTGTGGACAGAGGCATTTGCTCTGTTTTTCTTAATCGTTTTACCCACTATTCCCAAACTGTCCTTCCAGTCACACTGAAAGTGGCTGGTAACTTTATGTTGACAGTAAACACCAGCTAAATTAGGCTGTGTTCACTTAGAGTTCCCATCCCAGTCTTAAAGAGTAAGCCCAGTTGAACTCACCTTTCATCTTATACTTAATTACTTGGTCTCCAAGCCGAGTCAAACTTGCGGCAAGTTTTTGTGAGTCTAAGCACTTGCCTAATTCCCAGTTCCCACAGAGGTACATGAAGTAACTTGTTTATGTTAACAGAACAAAGGGAAGAGAAAGAGGGCTCTGTTCTACTGCAGGTTTAATCTTAACTAGGTCAAGAAACAAGTGCAGCCACATTTATTTCAGGTTATTCTGAATTAAAATGATCAACTCCCTTACAAGCATATGGGAGAAGAGACAAAGAAGGAGAAAAAGCCAAAACATTACTAGCCGTAGTCTGAGAGGTGGGCTTACACGTGGGTTCCTTCTGTACCCACTTGGATGTGGTCTCATTTTCTTGAATGAATTTGTATAATGTGTAATTAGGACAGAAGTGAAGTCACATGTTCCACAGCCTCCATATGCCCCCAGCCCTGTTTTGTCCCTAGGCGTTCACCTGCCCCCCACCATCCCCACTTCCTGGGTGGCTGGTGACCAGACAGGGGTGGCTAAGGGGCGGCACTAATACTATGAGGCATCCCCACTTCCTGGGTGGCTCATGGACTATGAGGCAGGAAAGGAGGGAAATGGGGGGTTTCTTCTGCACAGGTATTCAGCACTGGCTGCATCCAAGGCAGCCCCTCCATGGCAGAGGCCTCACTGTGTTTCCTAACTATGTTGTTTGCTGGTCCCCTGGGGGCCCTCCTGGCATGTCCCAGCCAAGAGCAGTGAAAGCTTAGGCCCCCTTACCTTAGCCACACCCACACCTTTCATGAGCCTTTCACATGAACCAGCTGAGCTAATTCAGTTCCTTGCCAGGTCCCTGGTTGACACCATTTCACACTAACTTCAGAATCTTGTGCCAGAAGAACTGATGGCAGGTAGTCAAAATGCTGACCCCAGCTTTTTTTTTTTTTTTAAAGACTTTATTTATTTAATTAATTAATTTATTTATTTATTGGAAAGGCAGACTGACAGAGAGTTCTTCCATCTGCTGGTCCACCTCCTACATGGCCACAATGACTGGAGCTGGGCCAGGCGGAAGCCAGGAGCCTGGAACTTCGTCCAGTCTTCCATGTGGATGCAAGGGCCCAGGCATCTGGGCCATCGTCTGCTGCCTTCCCAGGTGCATTAGTAGGAAGTTGGATCAGAAATGGAGCAGCCTGGACTTGGGATGCTGATGTTACAAGCAGAGGCTTAACTCACTGTGCCACAATGCCTGGCCCCGCCCCTAGCTTTTTCATGGTGCTATCATGCCAGATGTTGGCTCCTGTTTGATTTGTGACTTGTTTGATTGAGGTCAACAAAATATTGTTCTAGGCTATTTTATGCCAGAAGCATAGTTTGAATTTGATACCTGCTACTGAGCAGCTGTGTGTGCCACCCACTCTTTTAGGCACTAAAGATACAGCAGTGCCAGGAAAGCAGATAAAAACCGTCTGCTTTTATGGAGCTTATTTTCTAACAGAGGATGCATAGATGGACGAAAATCTTATGTTCATGGTCTGCAAATATTGCAAAGATGTTTTCAGGTGCTCTAAAATAATTCTTCATGTGGGGTTTGAATGACCACTCACAACACCTCACTATCTGGTCTAGGCTCTGCTTGGATACAGTTTGTAACCACACATCCCATCCCTGCTCAATTTTGGAGATAGTTCTAATCTTTACGGTACTTTCTCACATAAAACCTGAGTTCTTTAAATTTTTTATTTATGTACTTTCTTGGAAGGCAGAGGAGAAAGAGAGAAAGAGAGAAAGAGAGAGAGAAAAGAGAGAGAAAGAGAGAAAGAGAGAGAGAGAGAAAAGAGAGAAAGAGAGAGAGAGAAAGAGAAAGAAAGAGAGAGAGATCAAGATTTGCTGGTTCATCCCTCAGAAGTCTGCAACAGCCAGGGTTGGGCCAGGCCTAAGATGGAAGCCAGGAATTCAGTACAGTTCTCCCATGTGGGTGGTAGGAACCTAACTATTTGAGGAATCACCTGCTGCCTCCCAGGGAGCACATTAGCAGGAGCCTGGAATCAGGAGTGGAGCCAACCCTTGAACCCAAGGACTCCGACATGGGATGTGTGGGGAGCAACCGGACTGGACTGAGTTACTGGAATTAAGACTTATTCTATGCATCTGCTCTCCCACAATATGGCGCTGGGAGAGAAGTAAACAGCTTCCGCGCAGCTGCCTCCAGTTCAACCAATTAACTGTAGGACTTGCTCCTGATTGGAGAGCAGCGTACTCGGCGTGTGGGCAGCCGAGTTGGGATTGGCGGAGGAGGACTATAAAGGAGGAGAGAGACGGCATGCACCAGGAACATCTAAGGGGAACATCTAGCTGAAGGAACACCTGTGCAGCCCCCAGAGAGCCGGCCGGCGGTGTGCTGCTCCCCTGCGGAAGTGGGGAATGTGGCCAGGGGGAACTGCCCTTCCACGGAGGTGGAAGGGACAGTAGCCAACCCGGGAAGAACCAGCAGCAAACCCGGGGAGGGCCGAGCAGACGAAGGAACAGCGCAGGGTCCTGTGTCGTTCCTCCACGAAGACGGGGAGCGACATAATGGTGCCGTGACTCGGATAGGAAACCTAGGACGGATAGGAAACGTGACTCGGATAGGAAACCTAGCTCGGATAGGAAACCTAGGACGGATATGAAACTTAGGAGGGAAGAAACGGGAAGAAATGGGAAAATATCGGAGAGAGAGACTAGCAAACAGCCTAGGGAAAAGCCAGATGAAAAAGGTGCCGGAAGAAGCTATTGAAAGCCTAGGCATAGACTCAGATACGGACTACGGACTACGGGGGGAAGCTGGGAGAAATCTCTAAGGTCGAAAGCGAAAGTGAAAGCTAGAACAAACAGACTCGGATGCGGACTGTGGGGAGAGGCCAGGAGAAACGAGGGAGGAGTATTGTTGGAGGAAAGCTTGGGGAAACATACCGGGTAGAGAAAAATGTTAGGGAAATTGAAGCCGCGGGGGGCAGGCCAAGGCGGACACGAAAGCCACTTTGGGATTCTCAAGTTAGCCCGGGAATAGGGGGCGAAAAGTTGAAACCAGAAGCTGAAACGTGAGCCTGGTTGGGATCCGTCTGATTAGCCCGGGGAGCAAAGGACAGGAAGCCAAACCGTGGGGCGGAGACGTATGCTGGGTTGAATTCGCCAGGCTAGCCCGGGGAACTTAGATTGAATGCTAGTGGCGGACACGTAAGCTACGCTGTGTGACTCGCGGAGGCTGCCGCGCGCAGACAGAGCGTGCGGGGCTCAAGTACATAGGGAACGCGGGGCTAGCGCGGAGACCGTGGAGTGTGCGCGCAGAGCCGAGCCGCGCAGATGAGAGAGGCGCGGGCTGAAGCGGCTCAGAGCCGGAAAGCTGCCGAGAAGCAGCCTCGGGGCGGGCGCAGCCGGGAAGCCGCGGGGATAAGAATGAGAGCGGGAAGCCGCGGGGATAAGAGAAACAGAAGTTTAGAAGTAAGATGAGAGAAATAGGAATGCTGGAAGATAGAAGTAAAATGGGAGAAATAGGAATGCCCGGAGATAGAGAAATAGAGAAATAGAAAGGCCTCCCCTCATCATGGCAATGAGAAAGCTTGGATTCGGTCTGCCTGATTAAGTGAGGCGATGAGCACCTGGGCGGCTAGCAGCTTATGCGCCGCAGGTCACCGAAGACGGGCACGAATTAACATCAGTAAGGCTTCCCCACAATGCAACAATTAGGAGGCTTGGATTCGGTCTGCCTGATTTAAGGCGGTAAGCACCAGCAAGCAGCTCGACCAAAGTATGAGCTGCAGGTCACCGAAGATAGGCACGAACCAACACTAATAAGTCTCCCCCACAATACGGCAATGAGAAGGCTTGGATTCGGTTTGCCTGATAGGTTTTGTAAGCCCCTGCAGGCTCGACCAGAGCATGCGCTGCAGGGCACCGAACACAGGCACGCATCAGCGCCTAAAAACCTCCTCACAACATGGCGAAGAGAGGACCCGGATTCGGTTTGCCTGATTGATAGGACTTGTAAGAGCCTGTGGCAACTCTAGCAAGTAGAGCAGAGTGTGTGCCGCGGGACACCGAAGACAGGCGCGTATCAACGCCAAAAAATAAAAAGAAAGGGGGATCTGTGGGGAGCAACCGGACTGGACTGAGTTACTGGAATTAAGACTTATTCTATGCATCTGCTCTCCCACAATATGGCGCTGGGAGAGAAGTAAACAGCTTCCGCGCAGCTGCCTCCAGTTCAACCAATTAACTGTAGGACTTGCTCCTGATTGGAGAGCAGCGTACTCGGCGTGTGGGCAGCCGAGTTGGGAT